ATGCAGGAACGAGTACTTGTATACCAAATGGTGAAACAACAATTAAACAGCTCGGATTGGATTATATCAGCATTGGTGGGTGCGTTGGAGTCCTATTAGCGTTTATCATTTTCTGTCGAATTGTTGCATATCTTGGTGTTCGATTCCTCAAACATTAATACTTTATTGTTCAACGTACGAGCTTGTTTATTCACCTATCCTTTCGAGTACTGTCCACAAGCACTCGATTAGAACTTTTCTGTACGTTCGACTGATGCTTTTCGTTTCTTATTCTAAACATATATCTACCATTTGCGACATCTATCCGTATGAGATGATCGATACATGTGTGATCCAATCGAATCAACGAAAGTAACATACATACATACATATAGTTCGTTTTAGATTTCGACTGATACATAGACACACGCGATTTTGAGGCCACTTTAATGCGATTTATTTTCCCTAGTACAGACAAGGCCTTAAAACTGCTCGAATTGAACGCTTGTCAGAGAAAACGTGTCATCGGTGCACTGTTTCAGATGTTTATCCTGTTTGTTACCCTTTCCCGTCATTCAAAATCTACATGTATCAATGTTTTGCGTTCAATCACCAATTCATCGCGGATTAGTATTGAAACCCATATGAAGACACTCAATGATAAGCAACAGTTCCGAAAAACACTCGATGTATTTGATAAACACAAAGACAAATATCAAACAATGATAACAGATCGTGTTGTTGTTCAAGCATTGAAAGCTTGTGCTCGATTAGGTTTCCTTGATCGCGGTCAAACTATTCATCAGAAACTTTCCGATAACTTGTTGAACAACGCTTATGTTCAAACGTCACTTATTCATTTCTACAGTTAGTTAATTTGATTTGATGTGAATAAGTAGCGAGTTGTTTTTGTTTCATTATTCGAGTGCAATGTGGACGAGTGAACGATGCTCAACGTGTTTTCGAATCATCGACGAACAAAACATTGATCCATTATGGTTTGATGATGAAAGGTAATCTCATTGATAATGATACATTTCGATGTTATAACAAATCTTTTCCTCTTTAGGATATATAACGAATAATATGTCTGAAAAATCGATTCAACTCTTTTCGAAAATACCCAAGCCAGATGAAATTCTCCTCTGTCTTCTGTTCAACAGTTGTGCTCATACTCGAACGACACATGCATTAGACATTGGCCGAAAAGTCTGGTCTCAGCTATCATCAGCTAATCAAAGAAACCAATTTATTCTCAATGCTGCACTTGATATGTTCATTAAATGTGGTGATGTGTCGAGTGCGGAAAATATCACGTTCGCTAAAACAAAACGTAATGTCATTGATTATGGACAATTAATGAAATACTACAATGATCATCGTAAGCCCGTGAACACCCTCAATTTATATGAGAAGATGAAAAGCGAAGGAATCGAAGCCAATGCAGTCATTTTCCTTCTCCTCATTGACGCATGTGTTGAAATTGGACTGAAGTCACGGTGTCAATCAATTGCCAAACAAATTCCATCGACAATGTCAACTGATCTGAAAATTCAAAGTGCTTTAGTGCACATGTGGGTACGATGTAGTTAGTTACTGAGCTTTTGTTTATCAATTTGTTTACGTTTCATCAGGGCAAAGTGGGTTGTGTTAATCAAGCGAAACAAGTTTTCCAACAGATCAATAGACCGAATTCTGTGACATATACTACTATGAGTAAGTTTATCTTGTATTTTATCATTGTCACTTAATAGTTTGTTCGAATAGTTAATGCATATGGACTAAATGGAATGGGCCATGATGCACTTGAACTTTACTATCAGATGCCGTCAGAGATGATCGTTGAGAAGACTTATGTTTGTATTTTAAATGCCTGTTCACATTCAGGACTTGTCGAAGAAGCTCGGTCAATTTTCTCAAAAATTCCAAAGAAAGATGAATGGATTTATACAGCAATGGTTCGCCGATATATTTCGTTGTGGAATAATGACTGATAAGTTGATTTTTCTAGATTGATTGTTTGTGTCGTTCGTTTATCTTCGACGAAGCAAAACAACTGATAGAAAACTATGAAAATAATCATCGTCCTTGTCTGCCTATGTATAGTAAGTGTTTCAATAGATTCTTTATCAAAAACCTTTTCACGTCTCAGTAAAATTCCACTAAAAATAGATAGATAACGGAAAATCGAGTGTTTATTTGCTCTAGAGTCGTTGCTATCAGGTGCTCGGAATCGAACCGATGTATCCCTGGCGCGACAAACAATTCATCGAATACAACAGTTGTTTCATGGCATGGACAAGTCTTTAGTATCGGCGTCAGTACTTCTAACGAATACTTTGGCAGCAGCAGGCGAGTTAGAGGAAGCATTACAAATTAGATCAAAACTTAGCGAAACAGGTGTAAAGAAACAAATGGATTTATCTTGGACCGAAGCTAATGGTGAAATTGTGGTAAACGCCAAAATGCTAACATATTGATTTTATTCGTAGGTTTGTTTCGAATTTTAGGAATTCAAGAAATCTACGATGAACTGCAACGAATTGAACATGAACTTATTGAACACGGTCATAAGTTCGATGCCAGCTGAATAACGCGTCCGATAATGCCTGATGAAACTGTCGAATCGATTCTAAATAGTCACAGTGAAAGATTGGCACTTGCATTTAACTTTATTCAACGACCCATTCCATCACAAATTCAAATCGTGAAGAATCTTCGTATTTGCGGTGACTGTCGTAAGTATCGCTCTTGTTAAACGAAAAATATATATAATCTCTGTGATTTGTCTCGTATTACAGACCGTGCAATCAAACTAATCAGTCAGATTCTTATTCGTGATGCAAACCGAATTCATCATTTTTCACGTGGAAAATGCTCATGTAATGATCACTTTTAAGCCACGAACTTTTCAACGTGATTTTGAAGATGGGAACGACAGTGGAAGTCGAACCGACTAGAAGACATTCGTATTTGTTTATTGGACCAACCATTCATTGATAAGTAATATGAAACTTTTCACATGACATCGTGCTTTATTTTTCGAATTAAATAAAGATATGAACAGAGAAAAGGATATGAGTGTATCTTCTCTGTTCCATCAAACCTCCAAAAAGGTTGTCAATTGAAGAGATGACGTGTGTTTCATCCACTTATTGTTCGCATGACACAGTTCTTTATTACGAGAGAACTCGAAGAAGAAGGTTTATTTACACGAGAACATCTCTAAGGAAATTTTCAGTTTCGTTGTTTTAAACGAAGAAAACTCATAAAACATTGTCCACAACATTGTAATGCCATAAGAATATAAATAATAATCAAATAAGCAAAAGTAAATTGATACAGCGTTCGTTGGCAATAAAACGGAAGATTAAATGGATAATTAATGACATGTTCAACACGATTTTTAATACTAAATGTCCACGCGCTTCCAATAATCAACCAAATAAACGAAAAGATCTGTAATCCGAAAATAACTAAACTAAGAACAACGGCACAAATCAATGTGATCATTGAACGTGTATATGAAAAAAACATCGTCATTATCGATAAAATAATCGAAAGGACAATCCAAGTAATCGACACCGAGCCAGCAACGATTAAAAACGTACTAATACGTGGTTCGATCGGACAATAATAAAAATCACGATATCGAACTCCGATGACAAGCATACTGATCGGAAGAGCCAACATTAAGACTAAGATTACGATGCCGACGATTGAGGCAACTGCAACTGTAGCGACAACATACCGAACCCACGGATAAGTTGGTTCATATTCGAATAAACGATGTTGACGCGGAAAGACTGGCTCAAGAGGAATTTTTTGTTCCATTATATCGAATGTCAATCAAACAAATGACTTCTTCTTCTTCGTCTGTACAAAAAAATTCTCTCTTTTTTTGCGACAGGAAAGAAAGAGCGTATACGAATCAGGTAATAGAAACTTTACATTTGAAAGGTGAAGGACGAATGACATATATGTTCTAAAGGAAAAAAAAATCCTTTTAATATACTTCATACATTTGTATAATGCAATACTTAGGTTTTAAAATGAATGAACTTCAAACATGATTCAAGGTAAATGTGAAAATGATTTTTTTATTGATGAGAGAACATTTGTGTTTATGATCGATTGAACCGAAATGGAGTTTTTTATTTTCGAAGGAAATCATCGAAAAAAAGAAAATTAATTTGTGCCTAAGATATATTTTCGTGCGATTTGAATTAATTTTCGATGTGCTTTCATCGTATTGCATTGATCACGATTGCAATGGATTCCACATGTTCCTTTCGATGCTTGAGAATTTGCTACATGAAACGAAACACTAACGAACAGTTGATCATAATCCTTCGAACAAAACTCTCGTAGACAAAATCGACGAGAACAAACGAAAAAGACTCACTCCGGTACAACCAGCTGCAATTTCAGTTGTCATCGGTCGTATTCCAATGAAACAGGCACTTTCATTAATATTACCACAGTCAATAACTCGATCTGAAAAACTATGAAAACATTTGATTGTCGATGGAGATGTTGAAGATCGAAGAACATAAGGTTCGAGCTCTTGGCGAATTTTCGACGAGATTTGTTTCAAAGAATACAAACGAGTGACAAGAGTTTGAGTTTCATCGATGATACACAAATCACTTAGATGACAATAAACAACCGCACCCATGTAAAACGCCTCATTGGGTTTGAATCTATAATCAAATTGATACTTGGTGATACTTTTTTGGTTTTGCTTCAATGGTAACGGAAGTTCTAAAAGATCACTTTGTTCTTCTACAATCGAATTCGATATTGGACTCCACCAAACATAAACATGATCAGTAGAATAATCAATCGAAAGAAATAATTTACACAAAGCGATCTCATTTTCAGATATTTCACATTCATCCGGTAATGATGATGAACTTGGAATGGATTCACCGATTTTGAGTTGAAGTTCACATGATGGACATTTTAACGCTTGAACAACTGAATTTAACATGAAGAGAATGAGAAGAGAGGAAAGCATGGTCAATTGAATGGATGAACAGATAATTATGATTGATGCGCTTTTTTACCACTTTCAAGTAGTTTCATTTACTTCAACAAAAGACGCGCTCGAGAGACACACAATGGAGATTTTCATATCGTTTTATATTCTGGAAAAGAAACATCTTTTATTACTTCACTTGAAAAGAAAAACTATCAGTAGGTTTCGTAAAGATCAGTCATTTCTAATTCAAAGATCTCGTGAATTGTTGTGCCTAAATTTAGTGTTGCATGAGCTAATTGTGTAAGAGAATAATAAATTGACGAGAAAGCGAATAAAATCAAATCGAATTGTTGATATTGCTGAAATAATTGATGAATATTTTCATGTTCTAATCGATGAATTATTTTATATAAATCCACAAGACATTGTTCATGTGTAAACAAATCATTTTGAATCAGTTCATTTCGATGTACAAGAATTCCACGTGTAAAATAATAACAACGTGTTTGACTTAACTTAAAATAACATGACCACGTTTGTAAACAGTTCATAATTTGTTGACTTATTTCAAAGATTTCATTATGAATATTTCGAAGAAACAAAGAACAAGAATTCGATTGATTTGTAACATTTATCGAATATTCACTCAAGTAGATCACCTAAACACAATCGACATTGACTTTTTTCAAGTTTTGTAAAGATTTTCTTACGGCAGCATCGATATTGTGTAACACTCGGAAAATGTCGATTTGTTGTTGAACGATTAAATTATATCTCGTATTAGAAAATCGATTTTGAAACCAACAGAATGTTGGTTCGACGGACGCGTTCGAAACGAGTATTCGTTGAAAGTTAATTAATTGATGAAAAGATGACCTTTGCTGTTGAAGAAATGATTTAATTTGATCTTTGCAAAAATCTTTTTCAGAATGTTCGTGATGAAATAATTCATCGAAAATTTTATGCATTGAATCAATACTTTCTTCACACGAATGAAGACTTTCTAAACGAAAAAGTGAAACAAAGAAAATAATTCGATCGTTTTCAATCATTGAATTTTACTTTGAATATTTTCTTTTAATAAATCGATGGCAAAAACTGGAAAAATACTCATTGTTAAAACAATGGAAATTAAAATTGCCACGAAATTTTCCTCAATTCTTAAAAGTGCATAATTACCAGCTGGTAATCGATCACCATACGGTAATTGACCTAATGTCACAAGAATCGGAGTAAATGCCGCTACGATTGCTGTATAACCCCACTTTGGATACGATCGTAGATAACCAAATAAAAATATCCAAGGAATTAACACAAGAAATATCCAGAAAATATTGTCAGCAACTAGTAAATATGTTATATATGACCACATGGAACCTTAACAGACAATTGAAACATACGAGAGAAGATCGGGATTTGATATTTACCGAGAAGAGTTCCTATAAGTCTCATTTTCATGGTTGTGAAAGCTCCTCCCACAGTTTCTGCTTGTGTCATACACATAGCAATTAAAATCCATTGACCATTTTCAAAAATCTTTGCTAAATATGGAACCATGACAAAGATTGAGCCAACACCGATAATAATCATACTTTTCAATGCTAAGAGAAATCTCGCGCGATCGAATTGGATATAATTTCTCCAAGAGAATGTTTTTGGCTGAATAATTCGATTGGACTTTTGATTGCTGTTTGTGACAACGTCATTGAGAAGTTTAACAATGTAAAATAATTGAAAAAGAAAACATCCGTGAGGTAAATGACTTTCTGATTGCTGAATTCCCTTTTCTAGTCGAAATTTCTTATATGCAAAACGAACAGATTCAGCAGCTTTCGAAAGATTTGCTAAACGATTACGTAAATCTTGATTCGTAACGGATTTTCTCGATAAGAATGCAGAAATGAGACTTGATTGGCACGAATTTAGATAATAAACACTTAATTCAAGTTCGTTTCGTAGATCCTTATGATATTCATCGAATTGACACTGATTGACCACTAGCTGAAGTGAGCAAATATGAAACATCAATGAACTTATTAGACTAGCTTGATCTGAAACAAAACAGAGTAAAGGAAACAGTTTTCAAGAAGAAATTTTTCAACCTTGAAGATTTATATGAATGAAGTTTTTCCGTTTTCGATAAAATAGTCGTTTTAAGAATGTTCTTGGTTCATATTTCGCTTCCAGAATTCTCGGTTGCATTAAAATCATTGTTTCACGAATCATTTGTTCAAGAATTGATGCACGTGAAAGAGAAACTTTCGAAGTCATTCGATCACGAGACAAAAATCCTTGAACTATCAAATAATACATTCGATGAAGATTTGATAAGCAATAAGAAAAACGATGTTCGAGATCGAATGTTGCAAATAAGGGAAAGATGAACAATGAAACTAGTACTGCGATCGACATGCCAATTAAAAACACAGATAATAATAGAAATACAAAGACTTTGGGTAATGAATTTTGATTAACAATAGTGGAGAAGAAGATCGCATTGTACAATAGAGCAATTTTTCTTGTTTGAATCTAAACGAGAAAGATATCAGTACAATATAGTATGGATGCTTGATTTTTATTGTGGAAGATTTCTGACAACGGTCTCGGCAATCAATTATGAGTTCTTACTTGTGTACACTGGTAGGCAATGATTAATGAAAGGAGAAGTAATAGAATTTCTGTAGCTAAATAGTGATGATACGAAAGACCAACGATTTGGATAATGAAGAGTAAAATTGAAAGTGGAAGAATGGCGATAATAGTTTGAATACTTGAATATAATGTTGATCCAAAGGTCTCTTGAATGGATAAAACACTTATAACACAAATAACGTACTGCTGATCAAAATGATTGCGTAATGGACTTCCATAGGAAATTAAACCAGAAATTACAAATGCAACGATCATTTTGAATGAATATTCAATGCGTCGAATAGTTAAAGAATCAAATAATAACAATGAAGACTTTAGTCGATGAGAATTAAAATATATTTTAATGAATAATCGAATGATTCGAAACAAAAACATACTTTGTTTTCAAAGAAAAAAACGCAAAATGTGGTGAATACAACTATAACAATACAAGATTCATATTACGTACAAAATGTGATCATTGACCTTATCAGTCGATACTTTAACAGAAATTTATCAAATCAGGACATGACTTTTCTATGAAATGTCAAGTTTCGATTTGTATTTGGCATGACAAATTCTGGTTAGTAGAGTTCAGTAATGCGAATTAAGGATGTGCTTGCGACAAAAAGACAGATAAGATTTTGAGAAAGTTTTCAGTATCATCAGAATATATATGCTCAGCTAGATAACTGGCGAAAAGAGTCTTTTGAAACACGCAAGTAACATAAATAGATAGGATACGAATACTATAATCTGGATACAATAACTCGGCAGCTACTTTGGTTTTGCGTTAATTTTCGATGTGATGAAAGTTGGCGGAGAAACATGTTTTAAACTCCTCCTTGGTGAAGAATGCTTCGTCGGTTTTCTTTTTTTATAAGTTCATAATGCCATACCGATCTATATTCCAGCTAATTAATTTAGTACGATAAACTGTTGATAGTTATTTTGTCATTCATCGCCGACGATGATTGAAAAATCATTTTGTGGGTATTTATAAAGCATACATATCCAGTGTGTTGAACAATCCGGTATGGAAAGTAGTAGAAAACTGCTTCCACGAAATAATCATCTTGGTGCTTTTATTGCTAAACAAAATTCATCATTGTACTTAGGCTAAATAATATTGAGTGGAAGATGATCTGATTGTATGTTACAGTTCGTCAAAGTTTTGTTTGGATGGATTTAAAAATCGTATAAATGCTGTGGAACGTCCTTATTTTGAAGATTGTTAAAGTTTGATGGAGCGAAATCGTACAAACGTATATGTTCGGACACAATTATTATCGCAATTCTTTTTGTTGATAAAACGACAGTATGACACTGGCATTGGTTTATGTCAGAGAATGTTCTAAATTAAGAAAGAAAGAATTTCTGTCACCAAGTCTATCTGTGTGCAACAACAACGACAACGACGATTGTATATTGACAAGAATACTATTTTTCACGAAGAAGTATCAGAATTATCTTGAGACGTTTCTTTTGCTGGAAGATGCAATTTTTAATTATTACAATTCTATTTCTTTCATTTACCTTTGCATTTATTGGTATAACAACAGATTATTGGCATCAGAGTTTATTAAACGAATTTAACGAAGGTTTATGGATAACATGTCGCACTCAATCTTCTAATGCTTATTCATCATCGTCGTCGAGCGAGAACTGTCAAAAACAACCGTTTTTCAAATCTCAAATCTTTTCCATCTTCGGTTTAATTTTTCTGTGCGTATCTTTAATTGTATGCATCATTAATCGATATAGAAAAACTGATCGTCTTGCTGTTTATGTAGCCATGATTATTCTTTCAATAAGTACACTCCTTCTTATGTTAAGCTACTTATTGTATCCAAGAAAAGTCGTTTTTGAAGAACTTGGGTATTCAATTTATTTTATGGTGTCAGCAACTTGTTGCAATATAATTACGATTGGATTAATTGCTTTGAATTCAAGAAAACTTCAATCAGTTCGATCTGAAGTTTGACATTGATCTGGTTTTGTATCGAACGTAGACGTTTCTTCTTTTAAACATTATCAAGAAAAAGAATATAATCATATTTTAACGAGACGGTCGATCGATTTTATTGTTCTGTGTCACATGACGTCATGCATAAGAGAAGGAAAGAAAAAAAAACGTTCAGTTTTATCCATTGCTAGGTAATCGACAAGGAGATATATGAAAAGTAACGAATGGCTCGGATTCTTTTCGTTCGATGATTGAATCGAATTATTGTTTACATTCTCCTTTTTGTGCACATAAAAATCATAACGTCTTGGTTCGTTTCAAAGAGTTGTTACTTGAACTTCTTCACGATTGAAAATGATTTCGTCGGTTTTTTCTAAACTTCGATCAAATCCCATGGCGATTATCGTTTCTGCTTTTGCTGCGTTTGGTGGTTTATTATATGGTTACGATACTGGTTCGATATCGGGAATAATTGAAATGAAATGCTTTTTAAAAATATTTGGCTCAAAACAAGTCAATGCAGCATACGCTCTTACTTCAAACGATAAAAGTTTAATTGTTTCGATTCTATCTGCAGGAACGTTTATCGGTGCTCTACTAGGCTACCCATCTGGTGATTATCTTGGTCGTCGTTATGGATTAATTTGTGCGTGTCTAATCTTTTCTATTGGTGTCGCTTGCCAAACAGCTGCTAGTTCACTTCCTCTCTTCGTAATTGGACGTTTTATTGCTGGATTAGGTGTTGGGATCATATCTTGTATTGTTCCAATGTATCAATCGGAATGTGCACCGAAATGGATTCGCGGTGCGATTGTATCAGCTTATCAATTGTTCATCACCATCGGTCTTCTACTCGCTGCTATTGTTAATAATGGAACGAAAGACATCGATTCTTCGAATTGCTATCGCATACCTACGGGTCTTCAATTGATTTGGTCGGCTATTCTGTCATTTGGGATGTTTTTTCTTCCTGAATCTCCTCGCTATCTCGTCATGAAAGGAAACATCGACGCTGCTTATCAATCTCAAGCGAAACTTCTTTCGAAAAACGTCGATGATTCGGAAGTTGATAATGACATCAAAGAATTAATCGCTGATTTGGAATTAATGAAAACATACAGTACAAGTTCTTATGCCGATTGTTTTCGCATGGGACCACAGAAAAATCTTCTTCGAACATTAGTTGGTATTTTTCTTCAAGCATGGCAACAATTAACTGGCATTAATTTTATCTTCTATTATGGAACATCATTTTTTCACGCATCAGGTATTTCTCAACCATTTTTAATCACAATTATCACGAATATCGTGAATGTTGTAATGACCATTCCTGGTATGTTACTCATGGATAAACTTGGTCGACGAAAAATTCTCATTGTTGGTGCAATTGGGATGTTAATTTGTGAATATATTGTTGCCATCATTGGCACAATTGTTGGACAATCGAATCCATCTGCTCAAAAGACACTTATTGTATTTGTTTGTGTTTACATTGCATTCTTTGCTTCTACTTGGGGTCCAGCTGCTTGGGTTATTACAAGTGAAATTTATCCAATTTCCATTCGAGCGAAATGTATGTCGTTTTCCGTTGCATCGAATTGGTTATTTAACTTTGCACTTGGTTATGCAACACCATATATGGTCGATGAAGACAAAGGAAATCTTGGGTCGAAAGTATTCTTTCTTTGGGGTTCAACATGCGTTGGTTGTCTCGTTTTTGCCGTGTTTTGTATTTGGGAAACAAAGGGTTTATCTCTCGAACAAGTCAATTATCTGGTGAGAAATTCTTCGCCAATCAAATCTGCAAAACTCAATCAACAATTAACAAAGGATAATAATGAATTGAACAAAAAATGTGATACTGTTAATGATTGTAACAACTTATGAGGGTGTCAATAGAATCTTTTTTTTATTAATATTAAAGTCTCAATTTAACGTTTAGTTCAACATTTCGATTCGAACTTTTTGTAGTACACATCATTTTTGGGCAAAATACGATGTGTTCGTATTTATCCTTCATGTAAATAAAAGCATTTATAATCAACAAAGCCGATATTAGTTGTTTGAACTCCACCGACAATGACGGTGACATTAAAAACACCTAATGAACGGATATTGCCGCTGGTTGGATCATTTGATACGCCAAGGTATTTATTCGTTCGCGAATGAGGTGAAAGAAAATTATAGATATCATAAGTTAAAGTTCGAGCTAATTCTTCTTGCATTTGTAAATAAACCGGTTTTCGTAAATATAAATTATCAAGGGGTAAAGCAGCGCCTTCAGTATTGTTAGAAAAAGAAGATATCCAATTATAACAATTGTAAGCGTGAATGATGTGAAATATCTTGCTTCAGAATATCTAACGAATTTACAGGTTTTCCATTTTTTTGTTAAAACATTGAGCATTCTGATGATATAAATGATGAGGTGTGACTTTTATCAATACATGTGTATGTCATTGTACACCAATCGCATAAACTGTAACACCTTCTGATTTTAACCAACTGACTACTTCGAATGTGCGATCTGATTTTAGATTTATATGTTCGATACCATAATCGTTATAAAATAATTTTATATTAGAATCAGCATTATTAGCAAACATAAATGCATATTTCATCAAATCAGAACATCATTTACGAATGCAAAAACCGTCACGTGAACAGAGTAGTCGAGTACTAGCATAATCATCGATTGCGTCATTGACCAAATCCCATCTGAAAACTTTTCCTCTATAACGAGTAACTACTGCAGAAATACAATTTTGCAGACGTGATTTTGCCTTATCAGTTATTATATTTGATTCTTGTTCAAGTAAACAACGCGGTACAACATCACCGAGTGTCTAAAGTAAGTTTATGAATTCGCAATTGTAATCCATTGTGTTGAAATTTAACCAGTTGAATTTGATGGGGAATCAACAAACCAATTTCGATAAGCTCAATTAGAGTTAGTTTCATCTAACCATATATCCAACAGAAACACGCGAAGCCATGGAATTAGCTTAAGAAATATTCAAAGAATAATAGAACTTTTAAAGCTCATTGTTTCTATTTAAACATGATTCAACAAAATTGAAACTTTCATTTTTCTACTTCTGCTTCTTTTTCTTTTAAAAGTAAATTTAATCGTGGATTTCAAAGAGATCTCTAATCGGTGAACGTTATGTCATGTCGTTCAGAAAAGAAAAGAGCAGAAAAACTTGAAATCGGATAATTGTGAAACAATAAATTAAATATTTTTTAGAAATGATCATTACATGAACATTTTCCATCTGAGAAATGATGAATACGATTTGCATCACGAATAAGAATTTCACATCGACGGATTTTACTGATCAGCTTAATTGCACCATCTGTAACAAGAAACAAAAGCATATTTTTCATCTATCCGAATCTTCACTTACGACAATCACCACAAATACGAAGATTCTTTACGATCTGAATGTGCGATGGAACTGGTCGCTGAATGAAATGATATGCAAGTGCCAATCGTTCACTGTGACTGTTGAGAATGGATGCGACAGTTTCATCGGGCATCATTTCACGTGTTATCCAGCTGGCATCAAACTTGTGACCATGTTCAATGAGTTCTTTTTCAATTCGATGAAGTTCATCATAGATTTCTTTTGTTCGTGGATGTCTTCGATCTTTGACACGAAATTCCTTCAAAATAAATAAGAAGTTGAACGCGCATCAATGGAACAGAAAATGCATCTTTACCACAATTTCACCGTTGACTTCAGTCCAAGATAAACCCACCTTTTTCCCAATGCCTGATTGGTTCATTTCTAGTCTTAGTTTTGATGCTTCTTCTAAGTCACCTGACGATGCTAAAGTGTTACCGAAAAGCACCGAGGCCGATGAGAGACAGTCGTCGCTAACATGATCCAGTTGTTTTATTCGCTCAGTTATTTGTCGTGCAAGAGAAACATCGTTCTGATTACGAGCACCTGACAACAAGGACACTAAAGTTGAAAGAACAATGTTGATTATTCAACGCGAAATGAACTTTTTCCTCATGGAAAAACTTACTGTACATCGGTAGATAAGGAGGTTGGTGGCGCTCGAACTCTTCGATCAACTGCATTGCCTCATCAAAGAAAAATGAACGACTTAAACAATCGATCTAAATAAACAAACATGTATTTTTGATATTTGATGTTCCTATCGATTTAATTACTATTGTTGTATAAATATAATTGCTTTTATTTGGAATTGTTGTAAAAATTGAACGACATTCATTGACGAGACCTGAATGTGAACAGGCATTCAACACACAAACATGTGATTTTTCATTTCTCATTTCCGCTGGCATTCGATGATAGAGTTGAATTGCTTCATAACCCATTCCATTCAGTCCATATGCATTAACTATAAAGACCAATATACAAACAAACAAGCTACAAAGTCAATTTACTCATAACATTGAATTCGGCAGAATCAGGTTTGTTAATTTTGTCAAAGATATCTTTTGCTTCGTTCACACATGCCACTTTGCCCTGATCAAT